CCTGAGAGTTTGGGGTGCTCTGAGGTGTCCTGAGAGGTGGGAATGCTCCATGAGGTGACTTTAGGGTGCTGCACGAGGTGATCTGAAAGTTTGGGATGCTCCATGAGGTGACTTGAGAGGTGGGGATGCTCCATGAGGTGACTTTGGGGTGCTGCACGAGGTGATCTGAAAGTTTGGGGGTACTCTGAGGTGTCCTGAGAGTTTGGGAATTGCTCTGTGAGGTGACCTGAAAGTTTGGGATGCTTTGAGAGGTCCTGAGAGTTTGGGATGCTTTGAGATGTCCTGAGAGGTGGGAATGCTCTATGAAGTGACCTGAGAGATCAGGGATGCTCTAAGAGGTGACTTTTGGATGCTCCACGAAGTGATCTGAAAGTTTGGGATGCTCAGATGTCCTGAGAGGTGGGAATGCTCCAAGAGGTGACTTTGGGATGCTCCACAAGGTGATCTGAGAGTTTGGGGTGCTCTGGGTGACCCCAGAGCTCGGGACACTCCTGTCCCAGCTCCCAGCCCTGCTGTTCTCCCAGGGCACGCAGAGCCACGTGTGGGAACCAGCAGGAAAACAGGAACACAGAAAATCCAGGGATTTTATAGCGGTACACACAGAAAACACAGCCCTGAGCTTTCCTGCTGGGCCTTTCCCCGCTGTGCAGAAATTCAGGGAAGAGGAGCTCGACTGGGTGAATTCACCTGAAAGAAACATCCCTGGAGGAGCAAGGAGCCTGCAGGGAGAGTTCTGGGGCTGTCTGCTGACCAAGCCATGGTCAGTGGGCAGATTGGATGAAAGTTTGACAAGAAAGTCTCACAGATATGTGTGCTTAGCAGAAAGATTTTAAAATGTTGAGTCTGATGAAGGAATAGAGATGGAAGCAAGTTTGATATAGAAGAAAAGAATTGCTGAGCCAGTCTTACTGGATAACTAGGAAGCCAAAGGTTATGTTAGTTAGAAGGGGTTTTTATGACTTAGAGCAAAGAATAAACCTACTTTAAATAAGATGTTTTTACCAAGCAGAAGGATAGCACAGGCAAACAAGTCAGCAAAGTTGCAAGTAGAAAAAAGGTCTCAGAATTTTCCACTGCAAGAAAACAAAAAAAACAACTTCTAGCTTAATCTGTAATGTACTAACTTTTAGTGATTGGAGAACAGTAACATGAATACGGTAATTATTGTAGTTATGATAGGCTATAGATAATAGTTAAGGTATAGATTGGTGCTATTGTATTAAGATGCTCAGCAAAGAAAAGTATATAATGAATTGTAACCAAAAGAAAAGTATATAATGAATTGTAACCAAAAGAAAAGTATATAATGCAATGTAACCAAAGAAAAGTATATAATGCATTGTCACCAAAACCAAAGGGTCTGCCTGCAGCTGGAGCTGGCAGCTGTGGGCACAGGCTCTGTCCCCCATGACCCTGGGCTGCTGTAACATCTTAGATGTAATAAACTGCATTTTGAAGTGCTGCCTCAAACAAGATGATGTTTTTACCAAGCAGAAAGACAGCACAGGTAAACAAGTCAGCAAAGTTGCAAGGAGAAGAAGAGTGGGGTGCCTGTGTGCACTGGTGACAGTCACTCATCATCCTAACAGAGGCTGAAATTGCTTTTCCTCCTGTTTTCTGCACTCCAGCATCAGGAGGGCATAGGGCACTGTCAATGACAATGACTTCAGTGCTCAGGAAGTTTTTATCAGCGCCTCTCCTAAAAACTGAGTTTATCTATGAGGAAGAAGTGTGAGTCGCTCAGCTTTTGTTTCCTCACTTAGTGACTCTTGAAAGGAACAGAAAGTCCCAGGTTTCAGTTTTGGTGGTGATGTGGCAGCCTGGAGCTGCTCTGGACAGGAGCAGAGCGGATGTGGTGCCTTAACCGGTTAAAAGAGATCCGACACAGGAAACCGAGCGGGGCCGCGCTGGAAAATGTCAAGTGGCTGATAACGCGCTCGGAAATTTGAATTTGAATTGGTGTTGTTGGAGCTCTGTGTGTGTTTTAGGTAAAGGTGTGTCCAAAGTTGGAAATGGAAACTCCACTCCTGCCCTCTTCACTGCCACAAGTTTGCACTTTATTTAAACCTTTGGTTTGTCAGTGAAGTGGTTCCAAAGAAACACCCCATTCCCAGTTCTTCTGGGTCAGCTGCTCCCTCAAAGCAAAAGGCGTTTTTATTTAAATGGTTTAAGATGTCAGACAGGCGTAATTAAAAGGGAGGTTTCTTCCCGCAGGTTTTTTGTTTGGGAGTGTGTCCTCGGTGTTCCTGAACGCTGTGGTACATCAGGTGTGCTAATTCCTCAGGAAACAATGGGGGGTGGGAACATTTGGTATCCAAGAGTTACACCGGGCTCTGGTGAACCATGGAATGGTTTGGCTTGGGAAGGACCTTAAAGATCATTCCCTCCTAACCCTGGAACTTGTGTGTTTAACATTGCTGTGTTTGTAACCCACATCAACCCACCTTCGGGGAGGGAAGGGCTGAGCAAAGCTAGGGAGGCTCTGTATATATTGGGAAATATTCTTCTAACCTGATTTATTGGATAAAATGCATGTCTGGTTTGGGAAGCTGAACAGATCTCAGTTCATGAGTGAGTGTACCCCGGGCTGGGCACAGTGAGAGCAGAGCTCGGGGTGGGCTCAGTTGGAAGAGCTTTTCCTTTTGGGTGCCTGAAGGTGAGGCAGAAATGAATGGAAATTTCTTCCATGGAAATGAAACAGGGCATGGAACACCTCTGCTGTTAGGGAAGGATGAGAGAACTGGGATTGTTCAAGCTTTGGGTGATCTTATTGTGGCATTCCAGGACCTGAAGGGAGCCTGCAAGAAAATGAGAGATAGAGAAAGAGACTGTTTGAAAGGGCTGGAGTGCCAGGACACAGGGAACGGCTCCCACTGCCAGAGGACAAGGATAGATCAGGTATTAATAGGAAGTAGTTCCATGTGAGGGTGGGCAGGCCCTGGCACAGGGTGCCCAGAGCAGCCCCTGGATCCCTGGCAGTGCCCAAGGCCAGGCTGGGCAGGGCTTGGAGCACTCAGGGACAGTGGGAGGTGTCCCTGCCATGGCAGGGCTGGCACTGGATGGGTTCAAGATCCCTTCCCACCAAAGCCACTCTGGGATGCCACAATTCCCTGGCAGCAGGAGTGAGGACACCTCATCTTTTCCCTTGGAACTTCATTGCTGCACTAAGGCACAGTTGGCAAGGGAAACTCTGTAATTAGTGCAGAGGGCAGAGCTTCCCTCAGGGGTGCCCTGAACCCCCCCTTGTGGGCTGCTGGGAAGGAAAGTGGGAGCAGCATTGTGAAAGGGGTCACGAGTGATGGCAGCTGCTGCCTTCTGTCCATTCTGGGCTCCTCTTGGGTTGTCCTTGGGCAAGAGAGGCCGTGGGGACAGCTTGGGGCAGTGAGAGAGGCCGTGGGGGGCACCGCGGGTGGGTTTGGGCTCCTCCAGGCTGGGAAGGGATCAGCTCCGGGCCGGGCAGGGGAGCAGCTCCAGGCAGGGGAACCAATTCTGGGCCGGGCAGGGGGATGAGCTCCGGGCTGGGCAGGGGAACCAGTTGCAGGCCGGACATGGGGAGCAGCTCTGTGCCGGACAAGGGAAGCGATTCTGCGCTGGGCAGGGGAACAGCTCCAGGTCGGGGAGGGGAACCAGCTCCAGGTAGGGAGAGCAGCTCCGGGCTGGGCAGGGGAACCAGCTCCAGGATGGGGAATGAGCTCCGGGCCGGGCAGGGAGAGCAGCTCCGGGCTGCGGAACGAGCTCCAGGCAGGGGAGCAGCTCCGAGCTGGGCAGGAAACAACTCTGACCCGGGCAGGGGGAGCAGCTCCAGGCAGGGGGAGCAGCTCCAGGCTGGCGAACGAGCTCCGGGCCGGGCACGGGAACCAATTCTGGGCCGGGCGTGGGAGCAGTTCCGAGCTGGGCAGAGGGAGCAGCTCCGGGTTGGGGAACGAGCTTTGGGCCGGGCATGGGAAGGGAAAAGAGCTCCGGGCTGGGCAGGGGGAGCAGCTCCAGGTCGGGTAGGGGAACCATCTCCGGGCTGGGGCAGTGGAACGAGCTCCGGGCCGGGCAGCTCCGGACTGGGCAGGGAACAGCTCTGACCTGGGCAGGGGAACGAGCTCCGGGCAAGGGAGCCAGCTCAGAGCAGGGAAAGCAGCTCCGGGCCGAGCAGGGAACAGCTCCGTGAATGGCTGCTGGTGAATGGCTGCTCCGAGCACGGGGCTTTGGCTCCAACCCCACGTTCCCCACTGCCCATGAACCCCTCGGGTGCACGGCAGCGCCTGCCGCTTATCCGTGCGCTCCAGAGCTGGGTTTTTTACAGACATCCCCCTCTCTCTGCCCGTGAATTAAACTATTTCTGGCGTGGTGACTCGCAGGCTGTAGCAGAGCGTGGCGTGTCCTTGTGCAGATGAGTAAGCGGAAAGGGGGACGTCCCTGAGCCTTCCCCCTCCCGCGAAAGGCAGGAGGCTGCAGCGTGCTCGCTCGCATTTATGACATAAAAAGACTTTTTTTTTATAAAAAGACTTTCCTGTTCCTCGTGGAGGCGAACATGCCCCTCGCATCACACGATTTAAACGCGTCTGTCTAATGCAGGTACAAAATAGCAGCCTAAAATCCACTTCTTAGAGAGATCAAGGATAATGAGATTCGCCTCCAATCAGCTTGAAATCCCTTGAAACAATTAAAGCTCAGCCTTGGCGACTCAGAAGCACCGAAGGCTTTTGATGAGTGTGAACCTTAAATAAAATCAGCGTTTAGAAAAACGATGAAATCCCCCAAGACAAAGTGCTGGAAAAAAAAAAAAGAAAAAAAGAAGAGAAAAATACAGTTGGAAAAGGTTATTTTGATGGGAACAGGGTGAATATGAGGTGTCCCCCTAGAGGAACCGAAATCCCCGGTGTGCCGGGCGGGTGTGGGGCCAGAGCCTCCTTAAGAGGCGGCGGTGTGGGGTGACGAGCCGCTTCCAATTGCGAGGCAGCAGCACATGACATAAGATGCTCCAGATCTGCCTCCTGGGCGCTAGTTTAAAAATAAAGGATATTACACGTCGGTGAGGGGAGGCTGCGGGACCGGCGATGCGCGGTGAGGCTGCAGGGATCGAGCTTTTGGGACAGCGTTTAGGGCAAAAGAGTGTGGAATTTAAATGGTTGGGCTCGGGGTGCTCTCGGGGAGCTGTGGGTGTCTGGTTCTGCCGTGGGGTTTTGCAATGCCCGCTGAATTTCCTGTTGTTTGCTGCAAATGCAGCCTCTTTGGGGTTGCCTGGCTCACGTCAGCGAAGCTGCTTTGCTGTGACGTGGGGCTGTATTTTTATTTTTGATTTTTTCCAACGTGTTTTCTCTTGCAGGGACAGTGCTGTGTGAGTCAGACGCCAGGATGGCACTTGCAGAACCAGTCTCCTCCGTGGCTTATTGCAATTCAGCTCTTCAAGGCAGCTGCGAGGTGGCAGGGGAAGATGTGCTGCTCAACTCTTCACCCAGGTTGGTCTAATTTAGGATTTTATTTGGGATTTATTTGCCTATTTAGTATTTTACTTACCCTGTTTATATAGAATTGTATTCTACCATGCTTACTTTGATTAATTAAAATGATTTTGGAAGAGCCCTGCCTCTGCAGGGAACATCATGTGCAGTCCCTACACTGATCTCCAACTCCTGCTGGTAAGAGGCTGCTTGGATTTATAGACTAAAGAGCAGATTAGGGTCTGTATCTCACCACAGCATAATGAGATCTAGCTGATTAAAACCTCTTTACCTAAATTTTTTGGGGTTGCATTGAGCTACATGTAAGGAGGAGAAAAAGATGACTTGATTGGCTGTAAGGGAAATAGCTGGGGCTTTTCTGCTCATATTACTGGGTCATTTGCATGCTTTGATCATAAAAGCTGGTGGAGAAATGGTGCAGAACTGTTGCAACTGAGGATTCATTTGTGCTGAAAAATGTTCTCAGTAATGAGGAGGGAACACAGAGATGGGATCATCTCATAATCCCCTAGGGGGAAATAAAGAAATTATTTACTCAGCCCTGGTTGCTGGCCTGCAGATTAGTTCAGAGGAGCAGTTCTCCTTTAGAACAGGACATGTGATCAGCCATGTCACATCTTCCCTGGGCCTTGAAACTCCTCATATGCCCAAAGCAGTCAGAAATTCAGAATAAATGTAGATTAGAGGGAAGAGACTTCCCCTTACCCTGACATTCACACAGTGCCTGTGCTGGTTGCGTTGTCTCTGGCCTGGCAGAAAGGAATTAAAGATGGGATTTGGTGGGAGCTCTGCCTGGCTGGGGCTGAGGGGTTTGTGTGTGCCCAGAGGAGCTCTCAGCTGTGAGCAGTGTGACTGTGATGGGCAGAGTCAGGGCTCTTTGTGCCCCAGAGCTGCCCCTGCAGTGTTTGGGGTGATTGTGATGTCAGGGCCCTCCTGGAAGAGCCTGGGCTGGGTGCTGCAGGTGCTGCTGTTGAGAAGGGAAAACACTGGCCTGGAGGAACAACAATGAGTGATGGGCTGAGGCAAAGGGCCTGGTAGGGCCAGGCAGGATGGAAACTTTGGGTCTCTGCAGTGAAATTTTACTCAGCTAAAGCTCAGACATCAATGGTCCTGGCAGGGCATTGCCCAGGGCAGCTGCCTGCTTGGAGGGTGGGATTCCCAAATCTCACTGGCTCTGGCTTCCAGCTCCTGCTCTCATGTGGGACATGAGCCTTGATTGTCCCTGACCCTCCTCACTGGGGCTGTGACAGTCCAGCTTGGACAGGGATGGAGTAGGAACAGTTTTGCAAGCAGGCAAGTGGTGCTTCACCAGCTGCTGCAGGGCTGAAAGTGAAAGGACAGCTCAGCTGGGAGGAGTGGCTGAAGGATGGGGATGAGCCTGCTTCTGTTTCTTCCCAGGCATCTGGTGGGAGCCCTGCTTTTAATAGGAATACCTAAAAGCAAGATTTGCTGTTGAATCAATTTCCTGCTCTTTTACAGGAAATCTCTGTGGGTTTCCCCATGGGGTGGCTGCAGAGTGTCCCCAGGGCCTCCCCTGTGGCTGACTCACATCTTGCCAACAGGAGATGAGTTCCAGACCCAAGTGTCCCTTCCTGCCCCCCTTCTCCTCCTCCTCCTCCCAGCTGCAGGCTCTTTATTCCAGGCACCTGGAGCAGCCTTTAGGAATTAAATTATGGCTGGTTTTAGGATGATGTTTATGCATTCTTCTGCAGCTTGTCTGCAATGAAAGCTGCAATTAGGACAATGCTTATGTGTTCAAAACCAGCACAGGCAGAGCTTGCACACTCTGAGGGAGCTGTTCTATTGCTGGGGCCATGCAGGGCAGTGAATTAATAAAATCACCTGCAGAATATCAGGGATCACTCTGACATCTGAGTGACATTAAGGGATGGAGCCAACCTGGCTGTGGCAGGCAGCCCTCAGTGCTCTCATCCAGGGATAATTCATTTTGCCTTGCAGAACTGCTGAGCCACACAACAGCCAGCCAGGGGAAGATTCCAAGATTGAGGACTATCAGGTGAACTCACTCGGTCCCAAAGGTGAGTGCATGGAAATCTGGGGACTGTGGGGTGCCTGAAATTATTATTGCAATGAGAGAGGGATTTGTCAAACCATGACAATGGAAGAAGCAGTTCAGGTTGCAGGATGGGTTGTGCAGAAGTGTCTGGAACTCGGATTTTAAAGCATGAGGGTTAAATAGGCTGTGCCAGTGCCTGGTGCTCATCTGCCAGGTACCAGTGTCCTGCTTTCAGTCCTCCTTAAAAGAAAAAAGTTAAAAATAGCAGAGTATAACATGAAGGAAACTATCACCTTACCAGTACAAGAGCCTTAGGGCAGCAGAGCAGGTTAGAGGGGATATAAGTGGGAAATATTAACATAATTTAAAAGTGCTCTAGAGGCTTCTATCTAAAATACTGGGGCTCACATGGCAAAATTGCCAAAAGAAAGGGTCAAAAAAGGTGTGTGGGAGGGGGTGTAACATTTGCTTTCATATGCTTGAGACTTGTTTTTGTATTGTTGTTATGGCAGCAGGAAATTTGTAAATCTAAAATGCTGAACACTTTCCTTTCAAAGCAGCCCCCTCCTCTCCTGGCTCCAGCATGTGGACAACACGTCGTGATGGGGAGGTCAAGCTGAGGATGGAGGAGCAGGGCCCTGGCAGCGAGGCCCCAAAAACTGTGCACCAGCTCTTCCAGGAAAGTGTCAGCAAATACAGCAACTTTTATGCCCTTGCATCCAAAAAAAATGGCAAGTGGGCAAAGCTGACGTATAAGATGTACTATGATGAGTGCTGGAAAGCAGCCAAAAGCTTTCTGAAGGTAAGAGTTTGTTGAGTTCTCTTTGGCATGTTCACAGAATCCTAAAACCAGCATGGTTTGGGTTGGAAGGGATTTTAAAACCCATCCAGTGCCACCCCTGCCATGGCAGGAACATCTCCCATTGTCCCAGATGCTCCAAGCCCTGTCCAGCCTGGCCTTGGGCACTGCCCACCCTGCCAGGGAACAATTCCTGCCCAATATCTCATGTAAATCTCTCTTCTTTTAATTTAAAACTGTTCTCCCTCTTCCTACCACTGTGTCAAAACAAAACAAACAAAACACTGTGTCAAAACAAAACAAAGTCAAGTTTAATGTTCACTCATTTTAGTGCTGGAATGGCTGCAGTCAAGTCTATCTTAAATCTGCAAATTCCCTGAGTGCAGATGAATCTTAGTGACAGGGAAATACCTGAACATGCTGTGGACACCTTGGTATTTCATTTTTTTTTTTACAATTGATTCCACATTTAACCAAGGAAAAAAAAACATGTAAGGAAACATTTCAAGTGAGGTGTTTGAGGCCTGGAAAAGTTCATCTTTCTGAGAAAAAAAGGGATCTTAAAAACCAGACTTAAATGTCCCACATGGCCCAGCCTTTTGCTGGTGCTGCTGGGATTAGGAGACTTGGAAACAGAAACCAACAATACCTGTTTGTACTGTTGGGATCAAATCTTACCTCCTCAAGTTAAGGCCAGCCTGGTTTTACTGCTGTGGTGGGATCTTCTACTCTGGGACAAAACCAGAGTCTGGCTGAGGGAGTTAAAAACTGGGACTCCAAGAGCTGGAATTTCATAGCCAAGTGTGGCTGCCACTGTCTTGGGACTTGTGCTGCTCACAGTGACCCCAAGATGTGCTGGAAAGTCTCTTTTCCCAGCCTGGCAGTCAAAAAAGGAGTCAGAGCTCTTCAGTTCTTGCTGTCAAGGTTGTTGATTTTGCTTCTTATCTATAAAATATTTTTTCCTGTCCAGCTGAGGTCAGCACAGCGAGACAGGGGCACTCTGCCTGC